TCGACATTTCTACAAACCGGTTATGTAAACCACAATGTAAACTATAAAACAAATTTCAGAAATTTTTAATGGACAATTATACCCTCAACTTTATGGATAATGACACGGTTAAGATGGTTCTAGACCCCATGTTTCTTTGGACCAAATTTGTTTAAAAAAAAAAAAAATTGATTTCATCCAAACGTTGGCCATCTTATTATTTCTTCCAAACATAGTTCAAGTTCGAAGATGGGGAATATCGGTCCACACCTTCCGGTACCTCCCACACAAGGGCTAGGTTTAAATACGGGTTATAGTTCATATTATCGAACCTTACGTTCTTGTTTTTTATCTCGATATCCTCCGCAGGTGATATAATTACAACAGAGTCTTAGAACCAAACCCAAAACGCGGAACAAATTGGATAACGATTTTAATATAAAAAAGGGGGTTACATGGGGACTACCCCAAAAAGGGGGTACATATTCATAATTTTTTGTAGGAAAATTTATTATCATATACGACTACAAAAAAATACCAAATTTCAGCGAATTCGGTTGAAAAACGCGCTCAAGAACCTCAAAATAGCGATAATTGGGGGTACCCTTATATGGGGGCTACCAGAAAAATTGGACTTATACTAATACATTTTGGTGGAGATATTTGACACCTAATAAGAACCAAATGTACCAAATTTTAGCGAATTCGGTTGAAAAACGCGCTCAAGATCCCCAAAATACCGAAATTTGGGGGGTACCCTTATATGGGGGCTACCAGAAAAAATTTACCTATATTTATAATTTTTAGTGGAGAGATTTGCTACCTAGTAAGAACTCAAAGTACTAAATTACAGCCAATTCGGTTGAAAACTACGATAAAAATCCCCAAAATACTGAAAGGATAGAGGGTACCGTTATATGGGGGCTACCAGAAAAAATGGACCTATATGTATAATTTTTTGTGGAGAAATTGGGTACCCAATAGCAACTCAATATACCAAATTTCAGCGAATTCGGTTGAAAAACGCGCTCAAGATCCCCAAAATACAAAAAATTAAGGGATACCCTTATATGGGAGCTATGCCTAAACGTGGGCCGATATATCCCATCTTCGAACTGAACCTACCTGCAGACAAAAGACTCTATGCAAAATTTTGGCGATCTATCTCAACTCGTTTGGACCGTAGAGTGATTAGATCGTCTTAGAATTTTACGCTGATCAAGAATATATATACTTTATATGGTCGGAAATGATTATTTCGATGAGTTACAAACGGAAAAACAAAATAAATATACCATCCATACTATGGTGGAGCAATAAGCAATATTTTCATAGAAATTTCCTAGTTCTTTTTTTAACAAATTCGGTTTGCTTTTCCAGAAATGTTTGAAACTTATTTAATTCGGGGTTATAACAGGTCAGAATATTTTACAAAAATGTTCGCCATAAAATTTCACTCTGAGTCAAAAACCTTAAAAAAATATATAAAAACTTATTTTCGGTTTAAAACCGATCTTATTTCGAGTTTGTACCAATTTGTCCCACTAGATGTCGTTGTAGAAGGTTGGTATAAAGGGCAAAAATATTCTTCATCAACTTTTAGTATAAGTCACTGCAGAAGAGAAATATGTATATGTAACATATATACCGAATATATAGAGAAATTGGGACAAGAAATTCAAAAAAAAATATTTGCAATTTGTTCACAAACAATTTGTTCAAAACGTAGATTTCTAAATAACTTTTCGCACATAAAATATTTCATATTTATGGAAATACGAATAGTTGTCGAATTAGCTGGACATCTTAGCTTTCGTATGATACCAATTTTTTTTAAAATACATTAAGTATTTCAAAAGTTATTGAAGTTTAAAGAAACCTTTTCTTTTCCGCCATTTCAATCTACTGCCACAATAGATGGCGTCACAGTCGCAATATTTTCAAGTTGTTTGGAAAATCAAGATTATGGTAAAATTGGCATAACATTAAAGCGGTATAGTTGAAAAAATCCGACGGCTCTTTGCAGCTTAAAGAACCATCCATTTTTATACAATTATTTCGTCTAAAAAAATTCTCATAGAAATCTATTATTTAAGGCTTCACATTATTATGTACCCATATTAACGTATTTATGGTCGGGAATTTTGTTATTTTAGAACGCAAAGAATCAGTGAACTTTAAGCTACACATAACCGTTTAAATTTTTCAAATAGCATAATTTGTTCAAAAGTTATTTAGATTTTAAAAATGGCCCGATTTCCGTAGCAACCTGACCGTTTGGCGATTGCAGCGCCATCTATTGATGTGGTAGATCGAAATGGCGAAATATATAATACTCTGATTTCTGGCCCAAAATTTTTGAACTACTGGTGGTATTTTAATCAAATTGGTGTCAAACGAAAGTTAATGAGACTAGCTATTTCGAAATTCGTATTCGTATTTTCATAATTATAAAATATTGTATGTGAAAAATTATTTAGAATGATACATTGTAAAATTATTATTATTAAATTTTAGAGATACATTTTGCCGATTCTATTACTAAGACATGTATTTTCCCTTAAATATGACACCTTATTTGTGTTACTAAATCAATTTGTTCAAAAGTTACAGCCAGTGGAGGATAACTCTGAGGAAAAAAGTAATAGAGAAAAGAGAAAATTTGAATGGAGTTCACTGAGAATCAATGAGCTTTCATGTAAATTATTCAAATAGCAAAATTCGTTAAAAGGTTATTTGAACTTTAGAAATGCTCCGATTTTCGTAGCGACCGCAGCGTCGTCTATAGATGCAGATCGGTATTGCGAAAATTACAAATTTAATACTCTGGTTTTTGGCTCATAACTTTTGAACTACTGGCGGTATTTAAATGAAATTGGTGTCATATGAAAGGTAAGAAGTCTAGCTATTTATCCGTATTTTCATAAATATTATAACGTTATAAAATTATCACATGTATTGTGAAATTATCACATGGATTGTTCTTCAAAGTAAATTTTGCCGATTCTAACCTCCTTTTCATGTTGCAAACAAAAACACAACTATGTTGTCAGGGTATTATAGTTTTGTGCAGCCCCAAGAGTTTGAAACGCCGCGAAATATTGGCCCTAGACATACCTTTAAGTATACCGATCGTCATATCTCGACTAGCTGAGTCGATCTAAACACGATACAGGCCACAGTTATGGACCAATCTTCACGAAATTTTGCATGTAGGATGGGTTCTGGCCAATGAAGACCCCCATTGTCTCTGGTAAATATCGGTTAATATTTAGGGGATGAAATGGACCAAAAACTTCATTATTCTGTGATTTTCTGGTTGCTCTAGAGGCCGCAATTATGAAGATTCGGTAATTATAAAGATCGGTCAATATTTAGCGGGTCAAATGGACCCTGACTTTTGTGTGAGAAATGACAAAATTTGTTGATAGTATACCCTAGAGGATTGGTTGACCTTTAAATTGATACCAATTATATTGTCGGATGTGCTCAGATATGGGAGTTATGCATAATAAGGTAAATGTGAATATGTGCATAGTATTACTATTACTCCATTAGAGGACGGAAATGTCGCGCTGATCACTTTGAAATTGTAAAGGAAGTTCCGATTATGGTCAAGGACGACGTCTATAGTTTTCGGTGAAGTTGAGATTTCATTCAGGGGGTGCAATGAACGTAAAACTTTAATTTTGTCAGATTTTCTAGTCGCTCTAGAGGCAATTATTATATGCAGAACATTGCATATTTTATAAGGTGAAGGGGATGTGAATAAATACTTAGAGAGGCTATTTTGATGATGATCGGTCAATATTCCAAGGGTCAAATCAACCAAATCCTAAAGTGACCAGTTTTTTTATTTTATGGCGGGTTATAAAGTGGAGATGTTGACCTATGATCAAGAGGGTGCAAATATCACGAAATATTGCCCAGTTTCAGAATATAGAACCGCAGAAAGTTAGAGTTCCGTGGTAGTTGTGTAGGGTATCATATGGTCGGCCCCGTCCGACTATACTGCTCCGCTCACTGGTTTAAAAAATATATTTTTAAAAAGTTTAAATTTTCAAAAACTATCAGAAGTGTAGATTTATAAAATATGCCTTTTTTAACCAATATCCCAAGTGAACTGTTTTTAAATATTTTTTAATGGCTGTAGCTAACCCGAAATAATCAATTTTTTTGAAAGGAATATAAAATATGGTATGTTCCCGTAATGCAAGAATCTACTCAATTTTACTATTTTCTTCGATATCATAAAGGAAAAAAGTGTGATCGGAGTAAAAAATAGTAGATTCTTGCAGTACGGGAACATACCAATAGGTTTAAAAGGGATATATTTAAAAAAAAAAACTTGCAAATAATGATTTTTAAAAGATATTTCTAAAAAATAATTTTTAAGAGACTAGCTAACTTAAACCAGACTTGAAATGTTTTTAGCTTTTAAGTGATATGAATATAAGTGCAATCGGTCAGTTAAAATCGGTACAAAGATCGGTTGTACATGTTTAATCTGTATTACCATCAAAAACTTCATCACACCATAACTCAAAAACTTGATCTATGGCGAATATGTCCTTCGGTGCTCTTAATATACTCTCCAAGGCTTTTCACACACAATTCTTTTGAATTTCTTCATGAATAAAATTTATCATCGTTTTTTTTTCTTCTTATTTAAAATGGCCCAAGACTTTACAAACGATTAGTACAAAAATAAAGCTTACTATTAAAGTTCGCTATTTATTTCTTAAATATAGACAAACAAATTGCATACCATTTATTAAATAAATACAAAACGACAAATTATTAATTTATTTACAAATTTCATAAAAAAAAATGCAACAAACAGCGTTAAAAGGTTGGCAATTTTGTTGTGTACTTCAATTGTTTGTTTTTCTTGTTGTTCAATAACTAATTGCATTCCTAAGACTAGCCTAAATCTAAATGGAAATTGAAATTCTTTTCGTTTTTTATTTTTTGCAATTTCAATTCGAAGCACTGGGGCTAAACTGGACCCATTAACTTACCCTTCATTAAATTTACGTCGACGTGCTACAGCACTATTTTTAATAATTTCCGATACTTCACGACCACCTGAACTTTCACCCTCTGATGCGGAGGCAATATCCGGCTCCATTTTCATGGGATCCCTCAGCTGGGGAGGTTTACCCAAATTCGTTAGATTACGAACTAAACTGACCGTATCGTCATGTTGGCCCGTCGATGTCGTTGGCAATACACCCGATGTTGATGATATGTTCGTTGACGTTGGTTGTAGTTCGCGTACCGCATCGCTGGTCGTAGCCGATTTACGTAGATTCGAGACAGTAGCATTTTGTGAAGATTTCAAACGATTTTTCAATTCATTACTCAGGGCCGTGGGCATTAGACCCACACCACCGATAACACTTGATTTAGATTTTAATATGCCGCGTGGTGGTTCGAATGCTGAGGCACCGGATGAAGACGCTGTTGAAAAAAAATATAAGAAGCCAATTTAATATAGAGAGTTTAATAAGTTTAATGATATTGGGAAATTGGGATCTGATTTTGCGTGTTAGTTTTCATGCTGTTAACTTACCACACAAGTACACACAAATTGGGCTTTTGCTTATTAAAAATCCTTAGGTTTAGCTTGTTTTTTGGAGGGTTAAAGAAATAAATTAGCATTTTTGATTAGTTTGGAGGTTATACCCTAATCATTGAAATATGCAATACGAGGCCTTAAATAATCTGTGTGAGACATGCAAAAAAAGAAAAAAAAAACAAAAACATAATTGAATTAAGCAAGACAAGTTGTAATTGATATATTTACATAGTGGTATAGCTACATACTTACCGATAAATAAGAAATTCAGTACAATAAATTTCTGCTACTGCTTCAGAAACCGCTAATGGGCCGAAAATCGTAATCAGAATAAATGCAAATTTTTCTACATATCTCAATCGATATTTTTTCAATGTTATATGAATAAGGTTTTCTATAGGAAAACTGCAATTCAGCTTGGCTGAATAAGGTTTTTGATAGGAAAACTGCAATTCAGCCTGGCTGAATAAGTTTTTCTGTAGGAAAACTGCAATTCAGCGTGCCTGAATAAGGTTGAATAAGGCTGAATAAGGTTTTCCATAAGAAAACTGCAATTCAGCCTGACTGAATAAGGTTTTCCATAGGAAAACTGCAATTCAGCCTGGCTGAATAAGGTTTTCCATAGGAAAACTGCAATTCAGCCTGGCTGAATAAGGTTTTCCATAGGAAAACTGCAATTCAGCCTGGCTGAATAACGTTTTCTATAGGAAAACTGCAATTCAGCCTGGCTGAATTAGGTTTTCTTTAGATAACTTGCAATTCCGTCTAACTTAATAAAACTTTTTACAGGAAAAATGCAATTTAAACTGGCTGAATAAGGTTTTCTGTAGTAAATTTACAATTCAGCATTGCTGAATTAGTTTTGAATGGTTGGAAAACTGATTTGAATCATAATCATCAGCAGATGGCGCTGACGACGGGTTTAAAGATTAGGATTCAAATTTTCCACCAAAGTATTGAACTGGTCAATGATTGTTATATATTCATAGCAATGTAGGATATCTCCGTATATGGGATTGATTTTGTTTATCTCTTCACAAGTTATACGCCTAGAGAACTTAGTCTGAAAAACTGTTGCATTTTCTGATATCGTAGCAACTTCGATAAAAAACTAATGAACGAAATTAAGCTATTCTAAGCTAAAATACACTTTTGATGTGTATCTGTATCTTTAGGCGTTCCAAAAATCCAAGGAATTTGTAATTTTCCGGAAACATGACAACCCTGGCAAATATGCTTGGTAATTATGGTAGTGGTTCCTTTTGAGAATATGCATAGAATCACTTTCTAAGTCGTTTTATGCATGTCCGTCCGTCTGTCTGTCCATGTTAATTTGTAAACAACGTACAGGTCGCATTTATGATCCGAATTGGATGAAATTTGGCATATGTCACTTATTTTTTTGGGAAAAATCGGAAACATATAGCTCCCATATATATATTTAACCGATTTAATGTAAACCCTATATATCTTTCGGCATGAAATTTGGTATAGCCTAATCATTTAGGTTATTATGGTAGTGGATATATAGTTTCGATCGTAAATGGTGACTATCGATATTCATTTGAAATATTATCCGTTTCGTGAAAATCGGTCCAGATCATATATAGTTTCGCATTCTCCCTATATATCTTTCGATTTGCACGAAATTTGGCATATCGTACTGAATTAATAATGTCTGCCAAGTTTCGAATTATGATATAGCTCCCATATATAGTTTCCCATGATATTATCTCTAAAATTTGGAATAACGTACTGAATTGAGCCTAGTGTGATGTCTGCCAAGATTTCATGTAAGTGGTACACCAAAGTCGCTATATATCTTTCGATTTGCACGAAATTTGGCATAACGTACTGAATTGAGCCTAGAGTGATGTCTGCCTTGTTTCGTGAAAATCGGTCCAGATTGAAATTATAGATTTATTTTAAGTAATTGACGCACCAAGGAACCAATATGCTGATAGGAACAAAACGTTCTAAAATTAGTATAACCTAACTACTACTTTCCTTACTGGTTTTTGCCATAACTTTTGACCTACTTTACATATTTAAATAAAATTGGTGTCATATGAAAGGTACAACTTTATACTTTCTTGTAAACTAACAATAATAATTATATATATTTTAAAAATTATTAAATATGAAATGTATTATTAAAGTTTTCTCTAATATCCCAAGATAATATTTGTGTTGAGTTTTCTGGTCCTAGTAGAGTAGATTCTTTACTTTTTCATATCACACCTCTTTTAAAATGTGATTATCTGTTCAAAACACCTAAACAATGATTTGCATGATATAAATCATGCCCATCGATACATGGCGCTGATGACAGGGTTTTAAAAAACTATCACTTTTTTACTTGTTGAAATTAATAAGAAAAACACAAATTGAAATTTTTCTTTAAATATAACTTGTAGATATATATTTTGTTGTTTCGATATAACATATATTATTTTTTATTGTTACTTCTAATAAAGTAATTTATTAATAGTTAATAATATTTAATAATACAAATATAACTAAAATGTATTAATTCAGGAATAAAAAAAAAATTAAGCACGTGGGTTAACATTAAAAATTAAATTGTTTGTTTGTTGTTTTCTTTTTTTATTTTATTGGAAATAATAATATTTGCAGCAAATGTAAGTTAAACTTTAATTTTTTTATTTTAAATAAAATTAAAATAAATATTTTGTTGTATGTTCATATGTATATATAGTAGTAATTCATTATATTTAACTAATAATAATAATAAGAAATTGTAGAGAGCCAGATATTGATAAGAAAAAAATATTTAAGTTAACATTAATATACAATAGATGGAAAGAAAAAAAAACATCTTGTAATTTAATTAAAGAAATATTAACAACTAATGTTGATATTAACAAGTAATAATATTTTATTTTAATATAAAGGGAATTTATATAAATTTGAAAATATTTTTTAATTAATGTGTTATAGTTAAAAATTATTAGAGTAATGAAATTGTATTGCAGGGAGAGTCAAGTGATTTTTTTAATTTTCGTTGTTTTTTTATTTTTATTTTTTGTAAATCGTTTTCGTTTAATTTTCTTTTTTGTTTTATAAAAATGTTCGTTTTTTCGTAAAATTAAAGTTCAGCATTGTTTTTTGTTTTTAGAATTTTTTTTATTAGACAACATCTATGTATACACATATATTTTCTTATATTAAATAATAAGAATTTTTTTAGACCCTTTTTGTGTTTGTTTTACAAAAAATTAAAACGTTTTTGGGTTTTGGCAAATTTTTGTTTTAAAAACATTTATTTAAACACTCGAAAAAAAATCTTAAAATATTTTCTCTAAATTGAGCTATTTTTTTTAGATTTTTTATATTGTCTTTTTTGTTTTGTTTAAAAAAACAAGGCTGTAAATTATGCCCTGTTTTTATTAAGAAAAATACATCATGTTCAATATATGATAAACAGCACCACTTTAGCAAATGCAGACAAAATTAAAATAAAAAATATTTGTAAATACTCAGGTTTATTGTTTAAAAAAAAAATTAAAAGAAAAGAAAAACTTTAACATCTTAGGAAAAAATGTTTGAAAAAATAATAAAAATTGTGAAAAAAAAAATTTTGGAAAATAAAATAGAAAAATTCAAATATCTTTGGAAAAAATGTTTGAAAAAAAAAATAATAAAAATTGTGAAAAAAAGTATTTTGGAAAATTAAAAAAGAAAAAATCAAATATTGCCTCCTTGAAAAAAAAACAAAAATAAATAAAAATGATTTTAATTAATACATTTATATTCTTCTAGGATAATAACATTAATTTCCTAGTTTTCTTCTGCATAATTTAAGATAATGTAAAAAATTTTCTGTATGGCTGGTATGAAGTATAGGTGTGCCAATTTTTTCGACAATCCTCTGATTTACCATTTGATTCCTTTGCCACATTTATTCATTGTATGAGGATGAATTTCTTTGCCATTAGGCAATCAACATCACGGGTTACATAAAAAAACATGGAGATTTAGACGATTTCCCTTTCATACATTTCCTTTGGATGAATTCATGTAGAAAAAAAAAATTTCAGTCACAACTGGATTGGTGGGATCCTATCAAGACATAGCAAATTCCTAACAATCATAAATACAGACAAAAATATATATATTCATGGCCCTAAGGGCAATCAATTTGTGGATTACAAATTCCGAAGAATCCTCACGGAAATACCAGGTTTTAATACGTTCAAAGGAACCTGGATATTGGATATTAATGGTCAGAGCTGCTAATCAATCAAAAATACTGCCGTACTAGTAAGGACCGGTGTCAGTATATGCCCATGGACCTTAACGTTTCAATGTCCATGGCCCTCAACGATTCAAAATCAAACCACTTGGGGTTGAATTTGCATCGTATAGCAGATGGAATTATATTTCTGGCGAGCTTTATCGATTTGACCCACAGGCGATTGCAATACAGATCCATGATAAATGAATGCAAAATCTACCTTAATATAATCATGTCAATCTGGACTATAACTCTCCACTCTCTTTCCCTCTCTTTTATTTGCCAACCAATTGCAGAGATGAAATTGGGCCCTTGTTTTTTGTAAGAGACATCGACTATCAGAAAGTGATACTAGAAATCGAATTGGACTTGAAACTCTACAAATCTATTTGACCGACGGCTTCACACCATATAACATATTCTATCCCTCTCCTGAAAAGGTAAGAAATCAAAATCACTGTGGGCATCATCACAGGATAAAGTAAAATCACATAAGACTCACCGTCATATGGGCCAAAATGCAATAAAAAAAATAGAAACTATAGGGCCTATACAGTGCGGTATGATACATTGATTGCTGGGCACTTAGGTGTCAAATGGAACGGGAATCTCCTCAAAAAGCTATCCGACTCAATGATTTTATACTAAAGAAAATTCTCTCTCCGAGGAATTTAATTTTTAACTGCAGAACTTGGGAAGGTTATCTACTGTCCTCGATGTGAAAGCGGTGAGGCTATCAACTGTTTGGCAGTTATGAGGATAATACTAAACCTTCATCGTCGCTAGTTTTTACATAGAAAAAATCCATAAGGTTTACTGTAAAAATACAGGGTAGTATGATTCAAAAGGACCCTGAAAACATTAATTCTGTAGACATATGGCAGGTGATCTGACAGGATAGAGCCTATTCATATGTATCTCTTTTGAAAAACTTGAGATGGAAATAATTGTAAAAATTATTACCTGACCCTATGGGTCGGATCTTTAAAATGCTAATGGGAATATAGTGTAGTCAACTATTGCGGAAAATATACTTCGCAGGTATTCGAAGTATCAAGGAGCGGGATGGCGAATGATCCACATTCTTAGGGTCATTTCCAATGGCGGGAAAAAACGTTTTAAAAAATATCACACATATTTTATTTATTATTATTTTAATAGCAACAATAATTAAGCCCTTAAAGAAATGCCCAAGTTTATAAATATTGAAAATATTTATAATTGTACTATTTCCAATATTTAAATTATAAATTGAGCATAGTTTTTTGTTTTGGAAAATATCTACTTGGCAGCCACATAAATATTTTCCATATAGGTGAAATTTTAAGTTTCATACTAAATTCGTTTTTCTTAATAAAAAGAAAAAGCTTTAGGAGAAATTTTGAAAAAATAGTATATATATAAAGAAAAGGCTTGTAATAATGTTGCTGAGATGAAATTGCTTAGTGTATGATATTTCGAATACAATGATTTCCCATTAAAACATCCTAAAAGTATGCTACATAAAAAATGAGGACGTTAAGAATAAGGCTGTATATCAGTCGTTTAATTTGAAAGTGGCTTTAAGACTATTTGAGGTTCTGATACAAATCATGGTTTTCTAGAAAGTGTACAAAACATATTACGTTATATATTCTTTTATGTTTAAGGGCACAGAAAGCCACAAACAAAATCAATGCCACTTAACAATATTTTTGTAACAAATCAAACCCAAAATCTCAAAATAAGAAAAAATGGACTTAAATTACTTTCAAAATAAATGACTCATATAAATGTAGATATTTCGGTATAGTAAACAAATCTCACTATATTTATAAATATCGTTCCAGGAACTCAAGTCGTTGTGGGAATCCGCTACATGTGGCACAAAGTTCCAGGTTAATTTTCAGGATCTAAAAAAATCGTTTTTTTTTTTAAATATACAGCTGGCCTGTTTATGAATCTCTTTAGTGGTATGATGTTCCTTCTCATCGGAATACATGTATGAAATTAACAAAATTGGTTTTCTTCTTGTTTTTTTATAAAAGTTTTTTTTTGTTTTTTGCACACACACATACTACATACATATCTATATTAAATACATTTAAATTTTGAACAGAAAATATATAAAACATTTTTCTTCTATGAATATATGTATAAAAAAATTAAAAATTAAATACAAAATTTTGTTTCACTATTTAAAAATACATATGAATTTAAAGTAGGGAGGAAAAGATGGTTTAAAACAAATACTTATTTTTCATAATTTTTTAAGGGGAGAATAGAGGAGACAATTTGAAGATGTTTGTTCCAACACACTGAGAGAGGGGTTTTTGGGGGAAAATTGAATTGAAGATGTATTCATACAAAAGGGGAGAAAATTCAATTTGCACATTACATGAGCATTTTTTTAATTATTTAATTTCAAGCTCAATTTATTTAAGCAAATAATTTTGTGTTACACACATTAATTTTTTGTGAATATAAAAAATATAGCCGACATTTTGGGAATTTTATACCAAAATTACCTTTGGCAATTTTTCTTGCGGCAATTGTCAGTTTGTGGGCGAGAGAGGCTGCCCCCACTCTCTCACCAACAAACTACATAATTGAGGCAATTAAAATTGCTTAATGTAAATCTAGGCTTAACAATTAAAAAAAAATCCTTACATTAGCTTCATTATCATTTCTTTGTTTTTAAAGAGTAAATTTTTCTATGAAAAGGCTATTTTTTAATGAAAACCTTGTAACTTCTTGAGAATTTTCTTTTCTCTTATACAAAAATTAACTTCTAACTTTTTTCCATTAATATTCCATTCTACCACTCAGTGTGTTCAGTGTTGTTACATTCTGTCGTTTACGACAAATTCGGTTTGCGTTAAACAAAATACGTTGTGACAACTTTATAGTTTTGTTTTTTTACACAAACAACATAAAACAATAATAAAAATAATAATAATAAAAATAAAAGAAAACCTGAAATTATATTATGATCACGTACGTACACCGCCTTACAAACAGAACACGCACACACATACCTATAAAAACAAAACTGAAATGCACACCAACACACAAACAGTTAAAATAACAAATATCACTTGAGCAGGAAGGTCGGCCGACCGAAAGACCATCCGTCCGTCCAACCGCCATCCTTTAGATCCATATGTACACACATACTCCTCCTTCTCCACTTCGTGGCAGATAATCACACAATGCTCGAAAAGATTTTCTCTAATTCCACCACCATGGTCGGCTGTTGGAGCACCGATTCACCACACAATAGATTATCGAATTCTTTGGCTGCCTGTTTCAGTTCTCTGTCGGTGACCACAATCTCTTCGAATTGTTTCAGTTCGGCAATGTTGGCTGTTAGGCTGCGCTTAAGTCTTCGACTGGCCGGACCGCCAGCACTACGACTTTGCCATAGATTAACATGGTGATTAATGGCTTCGTTGGTGTTGTTGGCAGGTGGTGAACTAAAACGTATCTCAATGCCCGAACCATTGCTCTGGTCGGATTTATTGTTAAGCTGTTGGCTGTTGGAAGAGGCTGCGGATGGTGGCGGTTGTATGGGCAATGTCGGTGCTGTGGTAGGCGTTTTACTACTACTGTTCGACATACCAAAATATTTGGCATATTTACTATCGATTTGTGGCGAGGACGAATGGGGTCCGGTAAAGGATGCGGATTTGGGCGTTAGTTGGGTGCGTGTGTTCGGTGCACTGGTACTCAGCGATTGCGTATTGCTGCTGTTGGCCTTGCGTGTGAATTTGCGACGTATCTCCACAATGGGTGTTGCTTTGCAGGTGGTGCTGTTGATGGTGCTGCCAGAACTGCCATCGGCCTTTGTACAGTCCGAGGATGAGGTATCGATGTTCTCTTTGCCAGAATCTGTATTGGAATCTTCCTGACTGTGGCCATTACTTAGACCTGGTGCTGAGTTATTGAAATATTTGCTCACCACATTGTTGCTGTGGTGATCATTGCTATTCTCCACCGATGACAAGGCTGTGCCATTCTGATGATTGCGGTAATCGAATTTCATGCACTTGCTATTCAGCTGCACCTTGTTCTGCTGCATCTGGTTGCAATTTTCGATGAAGGGCGATTTGATTTTGCCGATTTTCTTGGGTGGCTGCTGTGACGACGAATCACTGCTGTCCACGCTGTTCTGTTCACTAAGACTGGCCGTTGTGGAGCTGTTGGAGGAGCCGCCACCGTTACTCTCCTTCGTTTGATTGTTGTTGTTGTTGCGATCATTGTTGAGGAAGGTGGTGGGTAGCATAAGTTTGCCAATGGTTTTCAGTTTGATGCGTTTCATGGTGGGTGTCAGCGTGGATGTGGGCGTGGTATCCGCATTGGCTAAATGGGCCGGTGTGGCACTGATCGGTTTTGCCGCCTGTAAAAATGGTGAGGTTTTCACTATATCCGCCTTTATGACCTCCCGCGAATCACTGAAATCGTGGATGGTGGCATTCTTTTGCAGATGATAATTTTGAACCGCTACCACACCACCGTGACCGTCAGTGGCAGCCAAATCCTTTTTCAATATTGTCGGTGATTCTGTTAAAATGGCCGGCCATTGCTGCTGGGATCCTCCACCACCAACGCCAACACATTCCATGGGTGTGGGTGTAACACTGGCACTACTTTGGCTGGTACTACTGCGCGGTGTGGTGGGCATAAAGTACGCACCGTACGAACTTAGGCTTGCACTACGTTCGATACAACCCAATGGTGGACTTCGTGTATAGGAACCTGAATTACGATTATGTGATTCACTGAGACTGCTGAAAAATCTCAAACGTTCCGAAACAGGCAATGAAGATGGTTCTATAAGAAGTGAGAAATTGAAACAATGATTAGTTATCCTCTAGCCTGATAAGTGATCCTCTGCAATAGGAGCAGAGCAGGACTTACGTGTTCTCATTTTACACTTATAGCTCAAGTAATAATTTTTTTGTTGCTGTTGTCGATCTTGTTGTTGTTATTTTTCTTTTCACTATTTTGTGATAATATATTTTCGGGAAAAAGAAGAAAATTGTTCGTTTCGAGTTCGTTAATCTTTACTCACTGACTTGCAATTGACAAATGTTTAACTACTTAACTGCATTCGGTTATGGTTAGTGTTTTTGGAATTTCAAGATAAAAAAAATTTCATTGTCGTCACAGACCTTACACCCACTAACGCGCACACACACACACTCTCACGCACTGAGAACAAATAAAACTCAGCCAGCCAGGCAGGCAGGCAGTCGGTTTGTCTGCCTATTTGGCCGTCAGACAGACGTCGACGCATATTTATCGCCTTTTTGGGTTTTTATTTAATCTGGGTTCTCCGCTTTACTGGCTGCAGGCAGTCGAGCCAAGAGCTACAACTTTAAGGAAGTGTTAGCTGGGATTTGTCACCAGCGTGTGTGTGTGAGTGTTTGTGTGTTTGTGAATTATTCTATGTGCACTTGAACGAACGAACATCTTAATCATACAGTGAATATCTAGCTCCCAGCACTTTGTTAAAATTCTTTTCTATTCGATCCGTTTTAATTTCTTTTCATAGATTCTTTTTTCGTATTTCTACAATTGTGGAATTTGTGAAATTCTTTGCTTTAGATGTTGTGTTCCTCCTCTCCACACAGTCAGAGATGCATTATCGTCATTAGTAACGTCATCCTAGCAAATATTCTCTCATTGATGGTGGCAATGACTTCGACCGCCATCGTCGTGGGGGTTTATTATAAACTCCACACCATTCGAACTTGAGCGTGTTTAATTCCCATCAAATGATTGATAATGGAACGTGACGAAACGCCAAGAATAGACGTTGTGACAGTTACTGTCGAGTTCAAATTTTTTTTAATAAGCAAAAATTGAGATTGGGCGCCAACACTACTGTAACTTGTCAGATTCATTTTGAAAATAGTAAATGTGATTGAAACCCCCAAAAATGTGCTATTATATGAAATAGATCAATAAACGTTGGGAGATTGGAGTAATGAATTGCTGTAAAATCGATAGAGCGATGTCTTTAAAATTCACCACCCCAAAATGCGAAGTCAGAGTCCATGTGTCGGGGTCAAGCAATGTCATCAAGGACCATGCGGAAAACGGTGATGTCAGAGTCGATGTATAATGGCTGAGCAATCTCATCAATGACCATATCCGTCACTTTTTATGTTTGATAAAAATATTAGGTGCAACGTCTGCATTGAATTGCGGATTCATTTCACAATCATCTTGGCTTATACGAGCTATTGTTTTTTCAAAAGGCCCAATAGACACTATCTTCAAAAATTTTTGCAGCTATGGTAAAAAAATAGCAATGCATAATCTATGCATAAAATCGAACACTACATGAGTTGCATACGAAATTTAAAAAAATTCAAAATCTCGACTCTTTGTGAGGGGAGTAAAAGAAGGTCCCTTTTTCGGAGTACCTATTTTCCTCTTTCCCTTCTTTCAATTAGCTTTATATGAGATATAATAGTTCTTTAAATATTGACCTTTGTAGGGGAGGAATTGGGTGTGGGCGTGGAATCTGCATTAGTCCAAATGGACCGGTGTGGAACTGATCGGTTTAGCCGCCTGTACAAATGATGTGATTTTCACAAAATCCGCCTTGATTACCTCCCACGAATCCCTTATATCATGAATGGTGGCATTCTCATGCAGATGATTCAGTTAAAATTGCCGACCACCACATTCCAAGGGGGGGTGGATGTAACACTGTTACTACTTTGGCTGGTGCTATTGTGTGGGGGAGGTTGTAGAGGTAGAAGCCCAATAAAGCCTTCAATAATTATTTCAGCTATGGCAAAAAACTTTCAAAATCTTCACTCTGTTTTCAATTAGCTACATATGAGATATATTAATTTCATAAATGGAACTTTTGTAGGAACCAGAGAGAAACGATCGATACAGTAGTTAAATACAATATACGCAGGTTTACTTGCGTTATGCAAAATTTGGATTAAATCGGTTACTTCATTCGCTTCAAATGAGATATACACAATTTTTATACATTGTGAATTTATAGGGCCCCTATTTAATTAGCTCCCCTTACAAGTGTTGGTACTTTTTAGGGAAGGTACTACAATGAATGGACCGTAATTTACGGACATTTTGAAAATCAAATCAAAATGGTCAAAAACGTTGGTTGGTCAGAAAAAAGGTATAAAACCCATAATTCGATAAACTAGATTTTGATCGTATCAACGTTAATATACCACAAAAAAGGTTTGAGGACACGAACAAATCAGGAAGTGTCCAGTAGATAGAGCATCTATTGGTTTCCTATAAACTGAAGGTACTTCTCCATATAGACGATTTCTGGATGAAGTACTTTCTGTATTTTTTCTTTAGCATTAGAGATTTTTATTGCTAACAGATCTTCAAAACGTTGAAGTTTGTAGGAAGAAGAATTCAACAGAAATCGATCGGAATTTTATATGCGACCTACCTCATACATTTAGTCAATATTGATAGTTTATGGTAGGAAGATTTGCTACGTAATGAATATTTAAAATACCTGAACATCGCAAAATTCTGAAATTTGGGAGGTGCGGTATATGGCAGCTATACATAAAATATAGAGACCAGAGTGGATAATTTTTTGATGGAAGACCTTCTAAAGGTGAAAAGTAGGAAGAAAAGAGAAAAAGATATAACTCAAATCGATCGGAATTTTATATGGGGCCTATCTCATACATTTAGTGAAAATTGATAATTTATGCTTGGAAGATTTGCTAAGTAAAAACATTTGCTAAGACAATTCAAAATATGCGAACATATCCAAATTCCGAAATTTGGGAGGTATTCTTATATGTGGTACCCTAAAAAGGGCACCAATATGGAAAATTTTTATGAACGAAGATAAAGACCCAGAATATCAAACTGCAGCCAATTATGTTAAAAATACCAAACATCCTAGGAGTAGTAGCATCAACTGACAGCCGGACATGTCTAAAACGATATAGAATTATATTCGGATCAAGAATTTATAAACTATATGCAGTCTCCGGTAAATATTGCGAGGAGTTCCAAACGAGTTGATAATTTAAATATAAACTCCATTTTATGGTAAAGGTTATAAAAATACGATTTAGGTGCATCAGATGACGTTCATAAGATCATCACATGCCTTGAGCCCGAAGCATCGACCGTTGTCGACCAAGTTGTCGCCAGTTTTTTTTTTTTTTTTTTTTTTTTTGGCGAAACGTAGGATGGTCTTTTCTAAGTGGTAAGCAACAACTCGCTTGCCTGAAGTTTTCGAAGAAATTCGATAAACGAACAAAACAATTGGATGAGAGAACAAGGCAATACGAGCTCTCGTACATTGGCACAATGCAGCGGCGTTTTGACTGGCCAAAACGTGGAATTAATGGAATTCGCCGCACATCACGGATGAAAAAGCATAACAGACAGAAAAAATGTCAAATAGATATTCTGGATTTTTACCTACGAGTGTTACGAGTAGATTTTAAAACAGTTTATAGGTCAATTAGACGAAGTTCACCAAAATCCGGTTCTTCTTACATTTTTCGTTCACTTAAAAATTACCAAACATACTCCTAGGATGGATCCTCAACGGCCATATCCGGCTAAAACGGCATGGAAAATCCGGTCTTTCTTACTTTCAAAACTATTTTATATGTTTTGCATATATTTGTAGTTTTCATAGTACGAATTGAGGACAACTTTTAGAAAGATTTTTATTTTTTTTTTTTACTGAGATACAACATAAACCAGTGAGCGGAGCAGTATAGTCGGACGGGGCCGACCATATGATACCCTACACAACTTCGACGAAAATCTAACTTTCTATGGTTCTATATTCAGAGCTTGGGCAATATTGCGAGATATTTGCACCCTCTAGACCGACTAGATTTCAACAAATATTTCTAATATTCAATAGACGAGGGCTGTACTTGCCCAGATTCTCTTTACTGCGGGTTATGTTGTGATGTTGAGCCTTCAATTGTGGCCTGTAGATCGACTTGGAAAAAACACAAAAAATAAGCTTTCGATCCTCTTCATTCCAATATTATTATCTGATCATCACCGAAAATTATAGGCATTGTCCTTGACCATAACTAGAACCTCATGGAACTTTTTAAAACGATCAGCGCTATATTTCCGCCCTCTAGTGGGGCAATGGGTTACTAAATAATATCTGAATATGTAAGCACCCGTAAATATTTAAGTGTAACTCCCGCATCCGAGTACATACGACAATATAATTGGCATCAATTTAAAGGTCAACAATTCCTTTTGGATATACTATCTACTTCTCGGCCCTATGTCCTTCAGGATTAAATATATACACTGTAGAATACAAATTTTGTCATTTTTCACACAAAAGTCAGGGCCATTTGACCCGCTAAATATTGACCGATCTTTATAAAAATGCTTATTCTTTGGCCCAATCCCCTTCTCCATGTAAAAATTCGAGATGTTTGGGCCATAATTGCGGCCTCTGGAGCGACCAGAAAATCAGACAAAAATAAAGTTTTTGGTCCATTTCATCCCCTACATATTAACCGATCTTTACCAAAAACAATAGGGGTCTTCATTGGGCCGAACCCATCCTACATGAAAAATTTTGTGAAGATTTGTTCATAACTTTGGCCTGTATCGTGTTTACAAATTATAATGGACAGACGGACGGACACACATGTCTAGATCGACTCAGCTAGTCGAGATATGACGATTTACTTAAAGGTGGGTTATTTCGCGGCGTTACAAACTCTTGGGACTGCACAAAGGTATAATACCCTGACAACATAGTTGTGTAGGGTATAAAAAGTGGACTCATATAATTCGATACTCACTATGTTTTCACATTTTCATATCAATAAGATGTAGTATTTAATAAATAATATAATAAGTTTCAATTTTAAGCCTCGATACAACTTCGGCATTTCTTACGGAACTTCTCGCATAAAATTGTAATTTGCATTCCTTGTGTTGTTTATTTGTATTTTAATTTCATGGTGTTTCTTTCACATCATTTAAATCACTGTTTATTATAAACTTATTTTCAATTTTACAAGGTTGCCCATTTGTTTACTCACCCAGCATAATGGTTGGTATTAATTTACTTCGAAGAACTTTAACTCAATATATTTTCTTTTCAAAAATCCGTTCAAAATGATTAAAACCAAAATATTTGGCATTGAATATCGAAACTCTTGATAACTAATTTAATTACATATCTTGAGTTTACAGAATAAAAAGTGTATATATAGAAAATAAAATATGTACATGCACACACACGTAGTAGTACATACACTCATGCAAAACGGAAATTTTTCAAAGAAAAACCCATAAATTTATGGACAAAAAAATATTATTTTGTGTAATAAGTTCGAATGGTTAGGCGGCAATTGGTTGATAGGTAGGCAAACACAGGCAGGCAGAAAATGTAATAGTTTTTTATTGGAATTTATTACATTTTTTATTATCTTTTATTTGTATTTGAGTGTAGTGATTGTAATGTGTGAGTGTATTTGTGTGATTTTCCTAAGTCAATTGTATTAAAAATATATGTATGTTCAATTCTTTTTCTGTTTAAATTTCCAATACAATTTTATGTGGTATGATTGGCAGGCGGCAGGCAGTCAGACAGACTGACAGACAGGTATGTAAGTAAGTAAGTCATAAAAAACATTAAAACATACCCAATAAAAGGTAAAAAAAGTAAAATAGAAGCAAACGCATGCGCAACATAAATAATTGTTTTTGTATTATATAATTATTATTATTTTCTTTGGTGTGTGTAAAACATAGCAGCGTAAAATTTGAAAATAAACCCAAAAAATAACTTCAACAAATAATGCCTGAAATAATAATAATAAAAATTAAAAAAAATATTTTACGGAGTTAGAAATGAAAGTGTGCTCAAAAGCAAAATGCGTTCGTATTTCAATTTTTATGAAAAAAAAAAAAAAACTGAAGAAAGTATGGTGGCCCTACTTTGATATTCACGTCATTAGTTTTTGGTGGAAGAAAAGATATTCCATAGGTTTTCAAAGTCCTCAATGGTCTTTCATCAATAGATGGAAAAATTATCAATGTTTATCTGTAGAAGGTCTAAATATTTGAGAGTTTTTATAAATTCAATAAGGTGCAGATTTTCTGAATCGTAGGTCTACCCCTTCTTTGCAAGTATATACGAGGGCAGTTCGAAAAGTTCTTAGCCTAGCACAAAAACCGCGGTATAAACAGAAAAAGTTAAGCGTTTTGGAAACTGCTACCTCTGTTATGAATATATGTTAAATATTCGATCTGGCAACTCCTTCATATAGAAACAGGTCTTTTTCAAAAAAGACACATCCGCAATTTCTTTACAATGAAGGCACGCATTTCTAATTTTTCTATTGATAAAATTCTTTTAACACTTGTTTCTAAATGAAAGAGTTGCCAGAGATGGAAGTTTCTAAAACACTTAATTTTTTTCTATTTATACCGCGCTCTTTGTGCTGGGCTAGGAACTTTCCGAACTGCCTTCATATAGAAAAATAATAATATATAAAATTTTCTTGCAGTGGGTCTTATAAATGAGGGTCTACTAAAGAACCTCTGTGGGGGTTTTTATGCTGTGCCTCGAAATTTCTTCTATAATTATAAAAATTTTTATGAATATATGTTAAATTTTCGATCTGGCAACTCCTTCATATAGAAACAGGTCTTTTTCAAAAAAGACGCATCCGCAATTTCTTTACAATGCAGGAACGCATTTCTCATTTTTCAATTGATAAAGTTGCGGATACGTCTTTTTTTAACAGCTGTTTCTAAATGAAAAATTGCCAGATCGAAACAAAATTTAACATGTGTTCATAACAGAGATGGAAGTTTCCAAACCACTTAACTTTTTTTCTTTCCGAACTGCCCTCGTATAGAAAAATAATAATATATAAATAATTCTTGCAGTGGGTCTTATAAATGAGGGTCTACTAAAGAAAATCTGTGGGGGTTTTTATGCAGTGCTTCGAAATTTCTTCAATAGTTATAAAACTTTTTACGGGGCCTTTCTAAGATCTTTACAATTTCAGGGGATCGTAAGACCTTATATAGATAGATTGCCTATAAACAGAACGTTCAGAGAGAATTTTCACAAAGAGGTGATATTTTAGGAAGATACATACATACTTTAAAAAAAGACAGAGGGATAGCTTGACGGTCTGGAGCACATCTAAGAAGTAAAAACCCCTGAGAGTTAATTATTCAATGTAAAAACATATATAATAACCAAAGTGAAATCTTTGGCGAGGGGAACATTTTCCTACAGTGTTCTGTGGAAGAAAAATATTGAAAGATCGTCAAAGGAGAAGAATTTCGACGTGTCTTTTATACACAGAAAACATTTGAGGGGACTTAAAGGAGATTTTTTTAACTTACTATTGTAAGTTCTTCGAGATGGATTCTTTGAGGTTTTTCCCATAAAGTGAAAAACCTTCACAAAGTATTTTATAATTTGAAGACAGACATTCGCGAGGTATTATACACACAGAAGATTATCGAAGTTCGGTATATTGAGAATATCTAGAGGCCTTCTATCACAAGAAAACATCTGATAGGTCTATATGCATTTTTTACAATATTTTTCTAAAGAAAAAAATACCTCTCGACATTTGTATACAGAGAAGTCCTTTGAGAAGTTTTATTTAAAAGGGAAGTCCTTTAAGAGGTCTTTGTAAACAAAAAGCTTAAAGAAGTTTTCTGTATGAAGAGAAAATGCTGTCCTTTATATAGGACATATCTAAAAAAAAAACATTTTTCTAAAGACCTCTGTGAAGAATTTAGACGGATCATTTATAGAGAGAAAACCTTCATGAAGTATTTTCCAAAGAGAAATCTTGAACGATTTCCATTAAGGTGTATTCTATAAAGAGAAAACAGTTTTGTGAGATATTCTATTGGAAGAAGAGGAAGATCTAAGAAGACCTAGAGGTCTTCTACAAATAGCAAGTCATCTTCGCTAAATTTTCAATAGAGAGAAGACCTAGAGAACATCTATAAAAATATTAATCATATGTCTTCATTAAAATGAAAGTCCTTCGAGAGATCTACTATAAAGATTGGATATTTATGAGGGCATCTAATATCAGAATATCTTCGAGTGGTCCTTTACATATTCAAGAAGTTTTAGTCATAGCAGACTGTGACGTAAGTATATTTGAGAAGTTTACCTTTAGCGGATTTCCTAAGGATATGAACCTTTGGACTGTTTTCTAAAAAAATAAAAGACCTTGGCGAACTCTTCGAAGATAAAGGCTTTTTAGGGATAACGGTCATTTAAATTGTCTCTTCCAGGGACACAAGGTCTTTCGGAAAGCACATGGATAGAAAATCTAATGTTCTTCTTTGGATAGAGAACATTTGAGAAGCTTATTTTTAAAAGAAAATCTCTGAGAAATTATATTTATAAACCCTTTAAGATGCATTCTAAAAACAAAAGTCCTATGCCAAGTCTTCTGCGAATAGAAGGCTTTTGAGACACATAGGAGACCATTGATTGATTCGCATAAAATACCTTTGAGAGGTATTCATCTGATAGAAGAACTTATTATAAATTGTTCAACTAACAAATTATATGTAAGAAAGCAGATGATCTGAATTTTTTTCAGATCTGAACGTTTCTGAACGAACATACAATTTCTTTAATTGGTTTAAAGACATTTGAGAGGACTTCTATGACTATTGAAGAGTTATTTTATTGACAGCAGACCATTAAGACGTGATGTACGGGTGGAAACCCTGTTAGAGGCCCTCTCTGGCAAGAATATCATGAGAAGGGGTATGACTACAAAAAACCAGCAATCTAATAGAACTTATGTATCCAACCTATACATAAAATATTCTATCTACTACAATAAATTTTTACAATATCATCATAAGCCCTAAACGGATATAAAATAAATATTCAAATTTCCGCCTTTAATTTCTCTCTATTATAAAATATTTTTTATCACTTCCTTCAGTCGAACCCTATAATTTTATGACTTGTCGGCATATTTTTATACTCGCTATAGCAACGAGAATTAATTGCGATTTTGTTAATATTTATTTTTTGATTTATAATCATATTTTTTAATGTGGTTTTGGTTTTTTTTATTTTTTTTTTGTTCACTTTAAAGATTAGTAGTTGTAGTAGTAGTAGTCGTATTAAAAAACAACAACAAATAATATAACTGCAAACAAATAAGAATCACAACAACAACAAGAACAACGACAACAACAAAAATTGCATTCAATGAGGAGCAAACGTAAAATAAAAACACATTTTTATGTCCATGTCCAAATAAAAATAATTTTGCATTCGTAAAATTCAACGAACGAGAACGAATGATTGAATTTGGATTTTGATTTGGCAGCAAAACATTGGCCAAAACGAAATTATGGTTAGTGTTGCAAAATAATAGGCGGCAGGGAATGGGGGTTTGATTACAATTGGCCATTGATTGCAATGGTAAATTGCTGATAATTAACATACCGATTTCTTCATCCGGATTCACAGTTGGATTATTGGGTGTACGTGGTTCATCGGCAGCGTTGGCAGCTGGAGAAGGTGACAAACGACGCGGTACTAAAAATAGAAAAAAAATACATATTAAATTAGTTAAAATTTTACATACAATATTAAAGATTCTAAATTATACATTGTATGTGGCTAAAGGCTGTTATGAATGATTTGTAATAATGTCTAAAGCCCACGTTCTAATATTTAATATTCTATGGTTACTACTCAACATATTGCTTAATGGTAGCCTATTGAAACCAATAATTTTTTTAGCAACTTAAGTGTTTATGTTTATTTTTATGCTGTTTGTTATTATGTCTCCCACCCCTCGAAGATGTTTATTTGTTTATTACATTCAATAAAACTTCAATTAATTACCCATTATATTTACATCATGTTCTTGACCACATTTCCGTAAGTAGTTCACATATTTTTAGTAATTCGGTCAAGAGCAAATAATGTATAACGAATTTACAATAATTGCTATTAAGATAAGACCCCATTTATGTTGATTATGTGAGTCAAAATATTAGTAACATTTTAAAAAAGCTCACAAGTTCCGCTTTTATATCTGTTTGATATTTTTATGACATTTGAACTGATAAACTTATATACGATTAGCTTTAGATAATAGGAAAGAAGATTTGGAGGTGTTCTATAAAGAAATAAATTGTAGACATTCTATATATTGAGAACATGGGAAGTTTATGGCATATAATTTCTTACGAAATGAGATCTGATGGATATCCTGTGCATTATTATAGACAAGACATACATATTATAAAAAGCTTTGTTATATACCGAGGATATTTTAGTTTTCAATTGATAAAGAACATTTAAGCGAACTTTTGAGCTTTTATATATCTAAACGAGCTTTGAGTTTTTATATAAACTGAAGACCTATATAAGTACACCTATTAAGTTTCCTATGATTTGAAAAATCGATTTGGTAAAAAATTCAATTATTGCATGAATATTTTTATGTGCTTATTTTTCAGAACTTTCGATGTCGACTATCACGACAAGAGGGCATCAATGAACTTAAACATGCGTCGGTTTGACGTACGAATATGTATTGTGTTGTTAGTTCCGTTTAAAAACTATCTTAATTTGGGCCAGGTACCCTGAATATTGGGTTCACATTAATAATTTTTGGTAGTGAGAATTGACACCCAATGAAAATGCGAACGACCAAATTACAGCCAATTTGGTTGAAAACCGTTTTCAGAATCCCCAAAATAGCGACTACCCAGAAACTTGGGTCAATATTAATAAATATTGGTACGGATATGTTTTATACCATGAGAACCCAAAATACTAAACTACAGCCAATTCTGTTGAGTTCTATCTTAAATATTGCCATTTCGACAGACATGGGTAAATCGACATAAATTTTTATTTTGATCAAGACTATATATACTATATAGGGTCTTCTGTGAATATTTAGAGGTGTTACAAACGGAATGATACATCCACCTTATGGTGGAGGGTATAAATAGGCCAAAATATGGTAACCTTATGGCATAATATCGTTTCTTTAAAAAGTAATTAATAGTTCGTTTTTTTAGATATTTCAGATGTTATATGGAGACTTTCTATAGGCAAAAGGCCTATGAAATTTTCTACAGGTGGAATATCATTTTAGCAACTTATTAGCATAAACGTACTGAGTAAGCATTGACGTACGATTTGAAGTACGATTATGTGTTGTGTTGCTTACAGTGGCTTGAAAAAATCGTATTAACTCATGAACATTTTCGTGCGATCATTTTTCAGATTTTTCAATGTCAATTATCACGCTAAGAAGAATCGATGAACTTAGAAAGATGCCGGTTTGACGTACGAATATGTGTTGTGTTGTATACACATATCATGCCATGATAATAAAAGATCATTATGTGATATATCAATAGCAGACATTCGACATTTCACGAACATCTGGCCGTATAAATGTACAAAATCGTAAAATTTTTAAAAATGATCATGCCGTTTGGTATAGGAATTTTGGAAAATAAAATCGTTGTCCTCCATAACGAATCATGGATCTATGCGCGGAAGTCCGAATCAATACAGAAATCGTCCATGTGGGTCTTTGAAGGCGAGTCAAATCCAATAATTTTTTTCGTAAAAGAATACCATTACTCTTCGAAGTAAATGTTCATCTGTTTCATGGTTAAACATGTATATGTGGCGACTGCTTAGCTTGATCAACATAGGGCGTTAATTCCGGTTAATTCCGACTGTTTTTTACCTGAAGTTTTCGGAGGAATCCGAAAAAAATGAACAAGAGAAGACTATGCATTGAGCACTATGACAATGCGAGCTGTCACACATCGACTCAAACAGTCCATTTTAGACCGGCCAATGTGTGGAGCTGATATGTCATCCCTTGTATATAGTCTGGAGATGCTGCCAATGTATCTAAGCGGATTTGTTGATATTTAATTGTTGTTAATTATATTGATGTTTGGACTCGGACATGGGAGTTATACTGATTTGATTTTTTATACCCTACACAACTAAGTTGTCAGGGTATTATAGCTTTGTGCAGCTCCAAGAGTTTGTAACGCAGCGAAATATTGGTCCTAGACCCACCTTTAAGTATACCGATCGTTATATCTCGACTAGCTGAGTCGATCTAGACATGTGTGTCCGTCTGTCCATTATAATTTGTAAACACGATACAGGCCGCAGTTATGGACCAATCTTCACGACATTTTGCATGTAGGATGGGTTCTGTCCAATGAAGATCGGTTAATATTTAGGGGATGAAATGGACCAAAAACTAAATTTTTATCTGATTTTCTGGTCGCTCTAGAGGCCAAAATTATGGCCCAAACACAGCGAATTTCTACATGGAGAAGGGGATTGGGCCAAAGAATAAGCATGCCTGTTTTGATAAAGATCGATAAATATTTAGCGAGTCAAATGGACCCTAACTTTTATGTGAAAAATTACAAAATTTGTATTCTATAGCGTATATTTTTACTCCTGAATGACATAGAGCCAAGAAGTTGATAGTATATCCAAGAGGAGTGGTTGACCTTTAAATTTATACCAATTATATTGTCCTATGTACTCGGATGTGGGAGTTACATTTAAATATTTACAAGATATTATTTAGTAACACATTACCACACAAGAGGCGGAAATACAGCGCGGATCGCTTTGAAATTTTCCATGAGGATCCAGGTATGGTCAAGGATAACGCCTATAATTTTCGGTGAATTTTGAAAGTCGAACATCATAACACAATCCACGGTGAAGGGAATCTGGACAAGTAATTGGAAGGGATTTACTGAATATTAGTAATATTTGTTGTCCTCTAGTCGGCCAAGAGGGTGCAAAAATAGCGAAATATTTTCCATACTCAGAATATATAACCACAGAAAGTTAGATTTTCGTGGAAGTTGTGTAGGGTATCATATATACTGTCCGACTATACTGCTCCGCTCACTGGATTTTATTTACTGTGATATAGTTTCGAATGTCAACGAAATGGAGCAAAGACTCGGAAATTAGATTCAAGAAAAGTTAAAATACCGTGGTATTTTAATAAATACTTGACTGATTGTTTATATTTTTATAAATTTAAAAATATGTTCTTCTTTTGTTCTCCCTGGCAACTAATGGGTTAAAAACGCCTCAAACAAAATTTCACACATTTGCTATGAAAATTACTTTTATTATTACAAATATTGCGCAAGCGCCCAAGCGTCTGAGACATACATAACAATTGTCAGGCCTCTCTGTCATGCTAAATGCTGGTTGGGATCGAGCGAGGAGTTCTTGCAACAAAATCATAAAAGCGTAAATTATAACGTGTTTTCTTCGGTTCAGTTATAAATGTTGTTGGGTATTACTAAAACCCATTAAAATAGTGCTAAACTACCGAAAAGTAGAAAAAACCCAAAAAAATGTCATGTTGACAAATTTGTTTTGCTGTTTATGAGTTAATAACCTAAAAAACAGTTTTCATGTTACCTTCTTTGAGGAAAAAAAAACTAAATAATAAGCAAGTCAGCTAACTTCTCGAATTTCTCCTCACCCATAAGTAACATATGTATGTATGAATTACCTAGCAGTAATGAGACATTTTTTCAGTTAAAACATTTGTAAATTGAGCTCATAAGTCATTGTGGACAATTAGCTCAGTTCTATGGTGTTTATGGGGAGAAAAACTCTTGGCTTGGTTGGGTTTAAATTTCAAATAAAATAGGTTTGCTCTAATTTAAACATACATTTTTTTGGCGGTTAACAACAATAAAACCACTAAATGTTTTTATTTTTTAATATGTCATAAATATTTGTTGACATTTTTTCATGATGAGTAATTGATGATGATGATGATGATTCTGTGTGTAATAGAATTTCTATTAAATCGAAATAATTTGTATTATGTTTAATAATGTTAAATCTTTACTTTACTTGTGAATCAGCATGGAAAAAGGGGTGTAAACGATTATCCAACACAGCATAGAATATCTGGGACAAGGGCTCCGGGAGTTTGGACATAGCGACATACCAAGGGGCTACTATATATAGTTTTGGACTAATAATGAAAACACGAATATTTGCTACCAAAAATGGTTTTATTGTTCTTCAAAATATTTTCTGGCATGACTTATACACTTTTCCAGGCACTAAAATCCCTCGTCAAAGCACTTTTTTCTCTCCGATTGAGAAATCTCTAAAACATGTTTTTTGACCAACTCAGAAACATTTTCTTGGTGATTGGGAATAAACAGAAGATGTTGGTTGCAAACTAAGGGCTGTAACACAGATTTTTTAATTTTGATAGAAAGACTTGAAGAGAATCCAAAATTTTATATTAGAGCCAATTCCGGAGAAAAATGTTCCCAAACAAATGCCGATATTTGGTATATGCGGCCTACAAAGTGGAAAAATACTAATATTTTTTATAAGATTTTCTACACTATGAGATCTTCAAATACCAAATTTCGGCTAATACGGCAATGACTGCATTTACTGTCATAGTTTCCGAGATATCTCCATTTCTTTCTCCAGAAATTTGCACAAATTGTGTATTTTCTTAAATAGAACTTGCCACACCCTAATAATTTGTTCCGAGTTTTTTTTCAAAATTCGGAACGAAATTGTGTACATCTTTCCGATTCTGATGCCTCATTCGCACCGATATTGGAACAAAATTGTATGAAGGTGCTACGATCGTTTTGTAGGAAAAATTCGGAAGGAATATTCGAGTTTCTTTAGGAGTGAAAATGGGAAATATTGAGAGTTTTTTCGATTTTGGGCACAATTTCGGACCAATCGCTAAAGAAACATTCGAAGATGAATGTTTCGGAAAGTACTTTGAATACTTTATTCAAAAATCGTAAAAAACTCTGGTGATTTTTACGAAATTCTGACAAATATCGGATGGTTGAATCGAATCGAAAATGTGAACAAATTTACAGCTGGGGGATTTTCCCATTAACAAACCGAATTCATTTGCTTCCATAACTATTTCTCTATCTCTATGTGGCTCCCATGTTTTTAACTCTCAAAATACATACAATTAGATTTCCCTTCAGAGTATGAGCAGATCACTCGGAAAATAATCGGAAAAAAGTTAGAAAATTTGGAAAAATATGTTTACTACCGTCTCTTATATTAAAATTTAAAATCGGTGGCAAAAAAATAGTGGTTGTGGGTAGTCGGAACAGTCACCACACCACATGTTTTGCCGAAGAAACCGTCGACCGAAGTACTTCTTCTACGAATAACGTTAGATTTTGATTGGATATATGGTCGATTACTGTTTTATTTTCGGCCCATATACATGATGATTCTTCGACTGGGTCTGTTTCTTGGGCTATTGACAAATGCTGCGGAATGCAACGAGAACAAACCGTTCAGTTCATTAAGGTAGTTTTTCACACTACTATAGGATGGTGGGTAGTTCCAGAACGAACTAGTCCATTGAAACTATTCCGAGAAAGGAACGAACGGAACTAGTTCCAGCTCTTCAATTAATATAGTTCATTTTTCTGATCTAGTTCTTTTTTCTTTTTCTTTTTTCTCGTTCTTTTTTTCTGATCTCGTTCCCATATTCTTCATTCTTTCGTATTTCAAATTGTGTAGATAGTTAAATTTTATTGTTTTTTTTTTTTTTTTTTGAAATATTTTTATTTCTTTATAAAAAAGTATTTTGTGCTTATCGTCCTGCAGTTGAATTCTGTAGCTTCATTTAATTTTTGCACAATTTAAAATTTTTTAATTATTTAACAAATCAAAAGAAAAAGAAACTAATGGAGAAAATGAACTATATGGATCAAAGGAACTATATACAAAAAAAAAAAAAAAACAAAAAAAAACAAAAAGAAAAAAAATGAAAGAGAGAGATTCAAAGGAACTATTTGGAGCAAAGGAACTGTATGTAGTAAAGTAACTACATGGATCAAAAGAACTACATTAAGGAACTAGTTTTTTTTTAAAGGAACGAGAAAGATCGATCCCCTAAGCGAACTAGATTGCTCACATCTAACTGTGACACAACACATGGTAGTACGTAACAACGTTCGGAGTACGTTTATGCTGAAAACATCAAACGTTCCAATGGAATGAAATGAAGTTTTGATCTACTAGATCTCTCAAGATATTAACCGGTCATCACAGATGAATATCAAAAATCCCTGATGAATATCAAAAATTCATGAAAAATTACCAGACGAGCGGAACCAAAATTGTTCGCCAATTTTTTTTACAAAACTCTTGGGACCGTACACCATTTTTAAAGCGTTTTTCTTTTTAGTAGTAGTACGAACAGTACGGTTTCACGTTAACCGTGTCAGCCCTGAACAATTTCAATAATTTACATTCTGCTTAGTCAAAAAATAAGTATCTTATATATAGGGATAACATCTCTCTACAATAGTCCTTATAACCACAAAAATAAGTCCACAATTAACTCCTTTCCGCATATGACTAAATAAAATAGCAACATCTGCTTTGTTTTTTTCCACTTACCTCTTCTCGGCGAAGTGCGTTCTTCCCGATTGAAGCCATTATTCGTGGTATTGCCTCCGTTATTTGTCTTCTCCTGCAGCTGTTGGAACATATTGGCACGAGCACGTACACTATTCGTACGTACAATGCCACTGCCCGACGATGAACCCGACGACACATCGGCCGCATTCAATGGGGTTTTTGGTTCTTGATTTTCAATCATATCGACATCGTGCTCTAGGCCAGACATTTCGAAAATACGCTGTTCACTATTGCTGTCACACGATAGACCCGAGTCGCCGGTAAACGAATGTGTTAAATCGGATTGATTGTTTGCTGTTGCGGTTGTTGTCGGGCTGGAATCGTTACGATTGGGCGTTTTACGTGTCACTAGACCTGATGGGCAGGCTTTATAGGATGTTGACGACGTTTGCGATATAGTGGGTGGTGGCGTCGAGGACGAAGTTACAACGGCCGTGTTGGCGTTACTTAACGAATGCCTTAACGGCTGTAGCGGTTGTGTAAACGAACGCGTTAGGGCAAAAGCAGATGGTGGTCCGTTTGGCGATTGATTGCCGTGTGCGGTAATGTTGATAAAACCAAGACCTTCCAACGACTTGGCCGGTTTGAAAGCTGATCCGGCAGGTGAGGTATACAATGTTGTAGAGTCGTTGCTTTTAAAGCTAAAATGAAAGAAGTTAAACAAAATTGCTGTATGAGTTTAGGTTGTAAAAAAATTGCTGTTAACGGTTAAGAGGTTGGCTCATTTAGAATTTATCTACATAGCTAGTAACACAAACTAAGGTGGCAAACTCTTTTGCTTTTGTATGCTTATTTTGCTCCAGTTTTTTTTTATAAATTTAGTTTTGCAAAATAAACAATTTTGTTGTTATTTCTTTTATCTCTTTTATTGTAAATGTGCACATATATATTTGTTATAATGCTAATGCTTGTAGCACATGTTCATTGTTTTTATACCCTCCACCATAGAGTGGAGGGTATATTAAATTTGTCATTCCGTTTGCAACACATAGAAATATTAACCGGAGATCCCGTAAAGTATATAAATTCTCGATCTCTGTTGAAATCACGATAGAGATTGCAGTATTTGAGATATAGCTTTGAAAATATGCGCTAGCATTGTTGTTATTTCTAGGATGGTTGGTATTGCAAATTGTCCACATTTTGGTATATCCCGATATAACAATACCCCAAAATTTTCGATGGCTGCAATTTACTACGTTTTGTTTTCATTGCCTACGTAAAATTATCAACATTGACTCATGTTTCGGGGGAAACCCTTATATAATTAGGGAAACCCGCATATAACGTTACCCCGAGGTCGGTATTTTGAGAAGCTTGAGCGTGAATATCCAGCAATTAGGGAGAATTTTAGTATTTTGGATTCTCATTGAGAAGGAAATCTCCATACGAAAAATATGTTTCCCGGTAGCCGCCATATAATGATAACGCCCATTATTCGGTATTTTGGGCATTTTTTTCTAACATAATTCACTCTAATATGATTTATCAAATTCTTATGAGCTGACAGATCGTCCTACCAAAAATTATCAATGTTAGTTTACCATGAAACGGAACCATCCCATTTTCGGTATTTTGAAAAATTTAACGCAACCGATGTGACAGTTATTTGGTATATTGTATATTAAATTTGTGTAGTGTACATACATATAGGGCCAAATTTTGATATGACCCTACATAAAAGGTCCGCTTCTTTTACCTTATTAATACATTCTTAACCGAATTTTTTCAATGGAAGTGGCTACATTTTGACACATTGGATTTTTGCTGAATAAAAAAAATAAATTAAATGAAGTTTCGTTTAAGGGGACCCCCTCATTCTCTGGGTCAAATTTTTTTGATTTAATTCGATTCTACACTAATTCAAGAATGTCTCTACAAAATTGCAAGTGAAAATCTCAAGAACTCTTGAAGATATAGCCGATTTATTGTGTCAGCATCAAGTGACGGCTAAATGGCTTCTCAAACTTTAAACGCGTTTTTCTCTTTTGCGAATGGCGAGCACGATAACTCAAAAACTAATAACCCAATCGATTCCAAATTTTTACACGTTTCTCTGTGAGTGTATAGCTTTCGTATGAACTAGGATAAAGCCAATCGGTGAAGATCTTCCTTATTTTTTAACTTGGCGATTTTCCAAAAAATATTTTTTCAAAGGTCCGCCATTTTGTTAATTTTAGAGCGAATTCAATAATCCTAGTTCATATGAGAGCCAGACATGTACTCTTTCTAACACCGTCGGATTCCGGATTCTATTTGGCATCTTTACGGTCCATGTTTTCTCATGGACTACTTGCAAAGATTGTATGCCATTTTCGGTATGTTCAAGGTCCTAACCCAATTTTCGTACCTGAATACCTGTAGTTTTGTGTCTCGTTTTTTTCTGCAATTTACCACGCCACAACACCCATATAAAAGTCTTGATAATATTTAGATATTTGAAATTTCCATCTCATGGAGGGTGTAGAAGTTCGATCTAAAAAAAAACTGAAGACTGTCACTGATACGTCCTAAATAGTTATTCCATATTTTTCGAACATCGCCCTAGAATCCGGCGTTCCTCTCATGGAGAGGACACTAGACCCCATTCAAAATGTAATTTGCCATTTTCAGTATGTTCAAGGTCCTAACACCATAGAAACCATACAAAATTCCCGATTAATTTTGGCCCGGTCGGGCATCTGTCAAAGTGTGAAGACTGACACTGATACTTTCTAACTAGTTGGCCTATATTTTTACGTCGAACTTCCCTTCCTTGTCCTTGATCCCGGCGTTCTCCTCTTGGGGAGGAAACATTATTTTCAAATGCCTGCAGTAACATTTGCGTTAGTTGGTTGACGACCCTATTTATAAGTGCCTTGAGCTGAAGGGAGATAATACTGCAAATCGTTATTGTTTTTGAAAAAAAAATTCAAAAGTCACGACATTATTGATATGACATTGGTATGTGTGTTAGATATGTTCATATAAATACTCATATCAACCATATTAGAAAAATGAAAAATTCAAAATAAAAAACATTTCTTGTTAGTTCCCGAAGATCCCCATTATTAGCAAATTTATTCCAAAATTATACGTTAATATTCAAAATCACATTAGAACGATTATTTCACCTTTTTTGTTTAATTTCAAAATAAATCACGCAGACTTGTGTAAGATAGACAAGGCCAGCAAAATTTATAGCAAACACACTTTTAAAACAATTTGGAATTTCTTATTTATTTATATTTTTTGTAAAAAAAAACACTTGTTGGAAATATGTACGAATTTGACATTGAAAATATAATTTTATTTCATTTCTTTTTTCTCTTTGGTAATTTATTTATTTTTTATTTTTATTGCACTATACACTTGTTGGCCGATAGACGAAACAATACTAAGCAATTTAGCTAAGAACTTTATTTTAGAATTTCGAAAAAAAAACACTTCTATTTTATAAAATTCACAACAACTAAATCCGCACAGCTTAACCCGTTCACATAAAAACCACGTTTGTTGTGGTTGCCGATGATGACGATCGTTAGAAGGGCCCAATCAGAGCAACGATTTGAAAACCGGCAGAATATGACGCGCTAGCGAATTGTAAGTGAACGACAATGAATTGGTGGCAGTGATATTTGAAATTGATAACAATTTCTATATATTTTTTCTATTATTATTTCTTCTTTTTATTATTTCTTTCAATTGATAAATTTTATCAATAGCTTTTTTTCTCAGCCACTTTTTTCAATTTCTTTATCAAAAAAATTAAATAAAACGAAAACACTTTCAATTTGTTATACTTTTCTTTCTTGACTTTTGGTTTGGCCAAAAACACAAATCACACTGCCGTAATCTACAAAAATTTATTTTTTGTTGGTATTTGCTTTGGCAAAAACAACAACAGAACGACCGAACGAACCGACAGACAGACCGTCTAAAAAAGAAGGCCAACTTTAAAGCAACCAAATTGGAAATGTTAAAAACAAATTTAATTTTGGGTTGGCGGTGCGTTACGTGCTTTTTTCTTTTTCTTTTCTTCGTTTTTCTTTTGGTTTTCTTTTCCAAAAGAAAAAAAAAACTCAAAACCGAGACAATTTTCAAAACACGCGTGAAAATTCAAATGACGATCGTTAAACAACTGAAAATGCGAAAAATGGTTTTCCCACAAAAGACTGCGCTGAAGATTTCTTCATTGGTCTATTTTACAAAATAAGTCGGATCGGGAGAGAAATTCGAGAGAGGGAGTACGGAAAATGACAATGATCAATTTGTGTCAGGAGAGACATGTTGTTCTCCAACAGCAAAAAAGCTGCGCGCGTTTTTATTTCGGTTCCAATGATACTTGACTCTCTCTCTCTCGCCCCTTCTTCATGGTTTATATGTTTTTTTTTACCATTCATGTTACCATAATTTTTCCGTTTGCATTTCCTTTTTGATTTTTTTTTGTGAATGTGTGTCTGTCGGTTTTTTCTTTTGTTTTGACCATTTTATCAAACAACTTAGCCATGGCATGGTGATGTCACAATCACTTTGCAGAGGTGGCGTAAAAACAAATTGAAAATAAAAAACATACATAATTAGGTTTTTTGAAAATGTTAAACTATTGGGAAAATCCAAAGTGAATTATATACAGTTATCGGAATTATATCAGTTATTGCAATGGGACTAATGTATGTAAATCGACTTCAAACAAGTATCAATAGGACATCCGTTGGGCGTTATTCTATGCTCAATTTTGTACGCTGTGCAAAATTTCATGTCTATCTGACAAACATTAGGAGTTTTTTGCAACAATTACTTACTATCCGACGAAAATATATATGGGAGCTATATCCAAATATGAACCGATTTCAACGAATCGGTTATATATATATATATATATATATATATCTGAACCGATTTTCACGAAACTCAGCACACATCATTCCAGACTCAATTCAGTACGCTATGGCAAATTTCGTGCAAATTGAAAGATATATAGGGACTTTGGTGCACCATTTACATAAGATCGGACGAAACTATATATGCGAGCTATATCTAAATCTGGACCGATTTTCACGATACTAGGCAGACATCACTCTCGGCTCAATTCAGTACGTTGTGCCAAATTTCGTGCAAATCGAAAGATATAAAGGGACTTTGGTGCGCCATTCGGACAAATATATATGGGAGCTAAATCTGAACTGATTTTTCCCAATTTAGATAGGGTTCGTCCTTGAGCCAAACAAATGAGCTGTGCCATACTTTCATCCAATTCGGATTATAAATGCGACCTGTACTTTGTTTACAATTTAACACCAACAGACGGACAGACGGGACATGCATACATCGACTCAGAAAATGATTCTTTGCATATTCTCGAAAGGAACTATGGTTCTATCTCGTTTCCTTTTGCCTGTTACAAATATATGCACAGAGACATAATATCCTTGTACCACAGTGTGGTGAAGAGTATAAAAACGAAGTATATCGATCGTCATATCTTGACTAACTGATTCGATCTAGACATGTGTGTCCGCCCGTCTGCCCATTATAATTTGTAAACACAGCACAGGCGACACTTATGAACCAATCATAGTGCAAATTTTCATATAGTTTCAGTTTAGGCCAAAGAATACCTCTTTTGGTAATGACCGGTTAATATTAGGTTGGAGAAAAA